ATATTTCAAAGGACACCAAAAAATAAAATAAAATGACAAACCACAGAGTGGGAGAAAATATTTGTAAGTCATATATTTGATAAGGTCTAGTGTCAGAATATATAAAGCCTTTATAACTCAACAGACATGAAAGATGTTCTATAGCATTAGTCATTAGAACAATACAAATTAAAAAAATCACTAGATACCACTTCAAGCCAGGGATATAGCTCAGTGGCATTGCTCCTGCCTGGCAAGCACAAGGTCCTGAGTTCTATTCCTGGTACAAAAAAAATCACATCTACCAGAATGACAATGAAAGAAATGGGAAACAGCAAATATTGGTGAACATGTGAAAAATCAAAACATTCACACATTGCAAATAGAATATAAATGGTGCAGCCTTGGCAAAGTTGGATAGTTTCTCCAAAAGCTAAAAATAAAGTTGGCATATGACCTAACATGGCATATATCTATGACTTCCTGGGCTTGTAGCTAAGAGAATTAAATGTATATCTACATAAAAACTCATTCATAAATGTTCATAACAGCATTATTTTCATAAAAGCCAAAAGATGGAACAACCCAAATGTCCATAAACTACTGAATAGATAAATTATAACATGTCTAGAAAGTAGAATATTACTCAGTGGCAGAAGGAATGAAAGTCTGATAACATGATATATTACAGATGCACCTCAAAAACACTCTGAGTGAAACAGGCCAGCCCCAAAAGAATCCATATGATATTATTTTATGTGAAATTTCAAGAACATGCTAATCCGTACAGACAAAACAGATTAATGGTTTTCAGAGACGGGCGAGGGAGGATGACAAATGGCTAATAACGTATACAGGATTTTCTTTTGCAGATAATAGAAGTATTTGGAAATTAGTGATGGTGAAGCACAACTTTAAGAATATTTTAAAAACTATTGGATTATACTGAAAGATTGGGTTTTATAGTGTGTGAATGACAAGGTGTGATGGACAACTTTTGTAGGTATATTGGCAGGCACCGTGATGAAAACTCACTGCATGAGAGTTACAAATAATGGTATAATACTGATTTTTAAAAGGAAAGATATACATTGAGTTAATGTCTGAAACTAAAGAAAAATGTCCACCAAATAGCACAGCAGATCTTTTAATGACTAATGTTTTTAGCATTAAGATTGTTTAGAGACCATCCGTTCTTTTTGAACATTTAATTAAATATTCAACGTGTTAAATAATATATAGAGAGAGTAAGTTCCGTGTTCTGTGAGTATATGCCTTCCCCTGCCAAAGCTCAATTTTGTAATGGGAGACATGGCATTCATTCCTCTCAAAGTACTCCCCTTGGAGTCCCATTTGTCCCATCATTCTTGCCACTTTCTGAGCTCTGGAAGTCCTCTTTTGTGGGTGTCTTTAGTTCCACTACCACCATTGCTCAATGTCCTCATAGATTGACCTTGAACTTGGCAATCCTGGGTTAGCTAACTGACCTAGAGAAATACATTATTCTGCTGAGTAGATGCAAAATCAGTTGGATACATAATCCTCGGATGCCCTGTAACACAGCTAATAGGCACATTCACACAGTATGACCTAAAAATAAATTTGAGATCCATAATTTAAGTGCAAAATTTCAGTATTTTAAAATAACCAATATTTTGGGCTAAGATGTCAAAAAGCACTCAGAAAATAGCACCAACATTCGTCATGCAGTATGGTACCAAGGTATTTTAAATAATACATTTTATAAACTGTGTGCTTTAAAGGCTTTTAATAAGAGATCATTGACATATATTTATAGTACAATCTGGTATGTTGAGAAAGGATGTCCAGATGGATTTTTTAATGGTTCTCACTGAAAAGTTAAGGTGATTACTGGTAATGAACTCTATGAATCTGCTGGGTACACATTTACTTACATATGAGTTTGGACTTTGAGTAGAACCATTTTCTCCCTCCTTTCCATGCCTGCACTTTCTTGTACAGATGAGAGGTATCTAACCAGTGAGCCCTATTTCTCTATCAGACGCTATAATTCAGTGTTTCTCGCATGGTGGTCCACAGACCGGAAGCCTCAGCATCACCTGGTGCATCTAGAAATGCATTCGGTTAGGAACACAGCTTCACCCAGACTGCAGATGGGTGGGGGGGGATCTGTGGATCTGTATTCAAACAAACTCTCCAGGGGACCCGGGGCTCAAGTTTGAGAGCTCCTGCTTCCAGTTTCTTTTTGAGCCTGGAAAAGAAGCAGGCAGTGGGCGAGTGTCAGAAACTACAGGGAGAACTGGATGTCTGGGGCTGCAAACTTGATATTTTATGTGGGTTTTGATAATATAAGCACCCCTGAACTGTGTCACGATTGGGACGAATTTATAAGTTATAATCCCAGGGAGAAGTTACTGGAATTCTCATGAGTGAATTCCAATCTACCATTTGCAATGCAACCCAGGGTGAGAAGAAAGAGACACAGCATAGCTGCAGTGCGGGGAGCCCAATGGCCACAGTCCAGGGCCAAACCCAACTTGAATAGTTTACGAAGAGGGGCATCCTCGAGGTACAGTGTCTGTGAGAATGGCATGAACTCTGCAAGCTGGGCCTGCTGGGAGGAGCAATGGCACTCCTGCCATATGCAGAGAGAGGTATGCAGCAAGAGTACTGGTAACAGGTGGCCCTACTTTGGTGGCATCTGCATAGCATAGTCTGAGGAAGTATCTTGTTTTGGGTTGAGTGCTGCAGCTCTGATGCCTGACCTTAGTTGCCCTAGGACATCACTGCCTCTTTCTCTTGTCACTTTGGAAGGCTACACATTGGCCAGACCCATCTGCATTGCTTAGAGCCAGAGGAGCGGCTTGAGCATCAACCTGGACAGCTCTGTGCCTACCATACATGCGAGTAGGGCAAAGATGAACCAAATAGAGGCAAATTGTCTTCCTTCAGGAGAAGCCATCTCAGTGGTCCTCCACAGATAGGACCTGGTGCAAATCTTTAAGGTTTCTTTCCTTTTCAGACTCCATTTCCTAAATCTCTACTTCCTCAGAGAGGATTTGAAACACACACTGCATTTCCCCCACTTTGAGCCAGCTCAGACAGAAGTGAGAGACAGGTTCTCCTGGCGCAGTAAGGAAGGGAGAAGCAGGGCAGTACTGTGTTCCTTCAGGTCACGAGGAAGCAGACTTAACTTACAAAACCATTGTCTTCAGGAGCCCTGGCTTGGTAACATGAAACACATCAGGCCCTCCCGGTGGTGGGTGCCGGGGCCTCACTTAGGGCAGCGCTTGGCTCCTGCCGGGTGCCAGATGTACGGAGGAGGTCACAGTGGAGGCAGCAATGGCTGCGAGGGCCAGACTTCTGCACTGGGTGCCTGCGTTGGCACCAGAAGCAGTTGCTGTTTGTACCCAGTGGGTGGTTGCTATGTTAAGAAGATCATCGCCATCTGGAGACAGAGCCCCACCTCACAACCTTTCCCCCAGCAAAGGAGCTCCCAGGAGACAATGCCTGACTGTGTGCCCCACAGAGGAGGCCAGCTGGCCGCTAGGCTGCTGCTGGCCTGTCAGAACGAGTCACAGAGGCAGGGATCCTGGCTGGTGCGGGCACCAGGACACATGTGGGAAGAAACACTGAAGAATATCAAGCAAACAAAGAGACGTTTCAGGGCCTTTGTAGCAAGAGTTTAGAGTTGGAGGCTCAAATCTGCAAGGGAGGGGGAGTGCAGCCACAAGACGAAAGGGGGCGGTTTAAATGCTACCCAGAAGGAGGAGAAGTTGGGTCAAGAGTAAGAATCTGGTCAGGCATGGTGGCGCATGCTTGTAATGCCAGCACTTGGGAGGCTGAGGCAGGTGGACCACTGTGAGTTCAAGACCAGCCTGAACTGCATAGTGAAACCCTGTATCAAAAAGACAAAACAAAAAAGAAAAAAAAAAGAATGAGGGTCTGCAGGCCAGAAAGGCAGGGCAAGGGGACCCCAAAGGCCCACAGGCAACTAGATCACTGGTGTAGGAAGCAGGGGCCCAGAGTGGGGCTTGAAGTCTCAGATGATTGCTCTGGGCTTCAGTGACCTTCCTTTCCCCCACTTCTCCTAAAATACAGTTGTATGGCCTGAGGTGACCAGGGGATTCCACTTGTCAGTGTTAGGAGGACAGACAGACTGGAAGGAGGAGAGAAGCCAAGAGCAAGGGGAGAGGGAAAGGAAGAGGTGGGGAGAAGGAGGAAAAGGGGACGTCAACGGGAGGAGAAGGGGAAGAGGAGGAAGTGAGGGGCAGAAGAGGGCACAGGAGAAGGTAAGACGGTCCCGACCCTGGAGTGTCCACTGCTTTCCAAGCCCTGTGCTGCTGGTTTTGCATATACTTTGTCGTTTAGTTTTCAGAACTTTGAGATTCAGTCACAAGGAAGGGAGTCTTGTTTTCAATTTTTTAAAAACAGCTTACACTGGACTCTTTCTGCCTTGCTCCCAAGATCTCTCTGAGGTAACCAAACCAAAGATCTGTCTGGTCCCGTGCCGCAGAGTCGATGCAGATTTAACCACTGCGAATGAGGGGAGCTATGGACATGAAGGCTGAGTCCACTAGGTTATTTTGGCTCCAGTCCTAGGAGTTCTGCCCCTCTGTGTGGCACCCCCTGCCTGTCCCACTCGATGCCCCTTAGCCTGGACACTCATTTGCATACGGGAAGCAGGGAAAAGTGGTCAGCATGCTAAGTGAGTGGAATGAGAAAGTGACAGGCAGCAGACACTTGGCCTCAGGGTCGGGAGTAACAAGAAGTAAGGAGAACACGTGCCACCTCTGCAGCGGCAGCCCTGCTTCGCTCCAGCCTGTTGCTGTCATGAGGGGAAGTGGCCTCAGTGTTGCTGGACGGTCTCATGTTTTTCACCGAAGTCCATCAGTTCAGCCCTCAGGGACTCTCTGGTGCACTGACAAAACGTACCTGCAGGTTCTTTCTGTCCACAAGTGTGCTGGACCACGGTCATGCCTTCTTCCAAGTTGCAAACAGGAGACCGATCTCTTTCCTGTGTTCCCTTCTTCTTGCAGGCCATTATGTTTACATGGACGCCTCCTTTGCCAAGCAGGGGGAGAAAGCTGTGCTGCTAAGTTCTGAGCTACAGACTGAGGAATGGAGCTGCCTCCGCTTGGTCTACCAGATAACTGCGTCTTCTGGGTCTCTATCAGAGCCCAGCCAGCTGAACCTCTATGTTAGATACGAGGATGAAAGCTTTGATCGCTTGCTTTGGTCAGCTAAGGAACCGTCTGACAGCTGGCTCATAGCCAGCCTGGACTTGCAAAACAGTTCCAAAAACTTCAAGGTAAGTGGAGTTTAGGAGGAAGATGTGGGGCTTCCGATGTGTGCTTTGTCCTATGAAATCTTGTAAAACTTCTACCATTGCAGCTAGGTATGTCATGGGAGATAATAATATGAATTAAAAGAGCTCAGATTTCCCCATCTATTTAAATGACATTTCTATAGGAACCTAAATAGTGCCTAGGCCAACATCTTCCATGGAAATAGATCTTCTAATGAACGTTAGGAAGTATTTCCTTTCCTGTAATTTTATTTCATCCTTCTAAATTCTATGTGGTATATGTTTATATTGTCTTCCTAGTGGTTTCATTTCCACAATGTTTGAGCAAGGTATTATTTATAACAAAAGAAAAAATGGAAATATTTTGAAAGAGAAAAGATGCCCATGGGGACATACTCTGTTTCCTTTGCAAAGAGAAAAGTTGTCCTGTCAGAGGTGCTAGAAAAGGAACATAAAGAACACAAGAAGTCGGGGTGGACTGAGCAGGGAAGGAGAAAGAAATCTGATCACACTTGGCTGTGGAGTGTGACCTTTAGCAAGAATACATCACTGAGATCACAATGGAACCTTCGAGAAGACTTCCTCCATTCCGAACTGCCGTTTGGGTCCCAGTCTCATCTCTCTTCTCTGAAAAGTTTTGAAATCCTGCTTCTCCCACAGCCCCATCTTGCTGGAGTCCCTCTCTTCCAGGCAGGTGGAGGAAGAGTACTGAAGGTCTGAATTCCCTCTTTCACATCATCCTCCAAACAGTGATCACATCCTGACTCTACCAGCGCAGTTGCAAAATATTGGGCTAAAACCACAGAAGATACTTTCAGAAACAGGTCCAAACACGAACCATAACATTCCTGGAAATTGGTCACATAAATTTCTATGCTTCTGTGTGTTCTTTGTGTAAAATAAAAGTATATAAAAAATGGAAAGTACACTTCGATTCATGAGCTTCCTCCATCGTATGTGGAGACCTCCCACCGCTCTGTGAGATTTAGGGTTCCTACCTCCCCTCCAAGTTTTCTTTCTCCCCTTGAGTCCTCTGCCTTCAGTTTCTGATCATTTTCAGAATGAATTTGCCCAAGAATGCCAGCACTCTTCTCTCTGTGTCACCAATTAGTGCCACTCCAATCCCAAGGGAACATAGTGGTAGAGATAATAGCAGGAAAATTGCAAGCTTCTAGTGGGAGCCTTGCTCACCTCAAAGTTCTATGGACATATGTTTGTGTACACATACACACATATACACATATGCTTATGTACACATACATATACACATGCACACACAAACTTGCATAATTACAAGTGCACACACTCACAGTCTTTGAGTAATGTCCATAGTAAGATTCCATCCAGTAGCAATGAACTAAAGCTATCAATCTTGTTTGCCTTCCACTGCTGAGCAACCCCTGACATATGAAATGCAAGAAACACCCTGTTTTGGAGTCTAACACCCCTGCTTGCTTTTGTGCAGATTTTAATAGAAGGTATCCTGGGAAAGGGAAACACAGCCAGTGTTGCCCTCTTTGAAATCAAGATGACCACCGGCTACTGTATTGGTGAGTTTCCTTTTCACTGCATGAAAATGAGGACATTTTTCCCCCTAAAATCGACTGTTGCCAGAAATACTGGATCAATCCTGCAGGCCAAGTGTCCTGCAGAGCACATTGCACAATGCACCATGCTTTGAGTTGTTTGCTAGTGTCACTTGAATGCTGGACATTATTTTTCTGTCTTTAGCATGGGAAGGCTCGTTAGCATTTTTCTGGTCTGCCTGGATTAATGAAAGTAGACACAGCAACTGTACCCCCAGCCTCGCCACCCTAGCCTCAACCTGGTCTCAGATTCATCAGGCCAATTCTGAGTTGGTGTAAACTCAAAAGTAGGCAGGGTGTTACCGCCTTTCCTCTGTTATTGTCTTGGCTCGCTTTGCCCTGGGTTAATCAGTTATCACTTAGATTCTGCTTGGCGGCTTTGGTGAGGTGTTCCCTAGAAGCCACCTTCTGAGAGGGAACCAGTACCTGCCCTCCAGACGCTCACCTTCTCGCTGTCTGCCACTGGCCGTGTCCTCTGTGTAATAAACGAGACTAGAGAAGGGGGGCATGCTGTGGCCATTGGTGTAGGGAGGAAAGGGCTGTCCCCGGGCAGACCCGTGGGAAGGAAGACAGACCACATCCAGGCAAAGGCCAGAGGCTGGGGCAGGTGTTTGAAGCGAGAGTCTGCCCTGCTCAGGGAGACCCGTACCCAAGTCCGGACCTAGACAGAGAGCTTGAGTTTCTGAATTATAGTGTGATCTGCAAGCAGGTGGCAGGGATGAGCAATGCCGCGGGTGGGAGACAATGAGCTGAAGGTGGAGGAGCTAGCGGGAACCTTAGGAACCCAAGCAGAGGACGAGTGGGAGTCCAAGGTGATTCTAAACCAGTTCCCTGGAGTCCCAATGCACCGTTTTCTCTTCCCATGGTGTGTCTAGTGTGGAAAAGGAAGGGGGTGGAAGGAGAGACGCGGAGAGGTTGCTCCCCGCCTTGCTTCCTTCACCCTCTGTTGCGCGGCCACTCACCGGGCCTGCGTGGGGTATGCACTGCACCCCCGGGAGTCGGTCTCACCCTGCAGCGCCACCTGCTGGCTCCATCAATTCGCTGAGCCTCTCCACCTGGGCCTTAGCTGTAAAATGGGGATAAAATGCTTCTCTGCTTAGATTTCTGTGAAGATGAGATCGTGGCTGTGATAGGGATTGCTACAGCGCTGGACACTTGAAAAATATTCATTGCCTTTCTTCAAATTATTTGGTGGCTTGTAGCTTGTTTAAAACCAAAGGGAAGACAATATTTTATTTTGTTAAACGGGGCAATCACCCTCTCAACTGTCCTCTCCTTGTGGGTACCTGGTCTCTTGGTTCCTCATCTTTTAAAATGAGATTAGTGTAGCACCTCTCTGATGGAGCTGCTTCGAAGAGCAAGTTCATGTATGATACTTAGAATAGGGCCCAGCACCCCCAGGGAATATTTTGCTTTTTGTTATGTTCTGTGTCAGGCTTTGGCTCTGAACCTTGGGCATTGTTTGGCAGGCAATGCATAGAAAGATAAAGCTTAAACATTTTCTATGGCTGCCAGTATAAAAACACATCGATAACTCTGCCGGCTAGGATTCCACCAGGAAAGTGGAAACCAAGATAAACTCAACCCGAGTGATCTGGGGAAACTCATCAAAGAGACCAGAGAGGTGTGAGTGGTAAAGGAAACCAGCAAGGGACAGCGGACGAAGATGGAGGTGTGGTGGTGATGGCTGACGAGCCACTATCCTGCTGAGGCCCAAAGGCTCGAGGAAAGAGGAGTCACTAAAACTGGGAAATCTTAGCAATATGATGAGGGCTTCATGAGTAGACTGTGCCTTCATTGAAGGGGCATGGCCAGGCCATGGCTGCATAGCCAGGGGGAACCGGGGGAGCTAGCCCCGGGGGTCATGTTCCTTTGCCTCTGTTGGCGTACACTGATCCCAACAAGCCACACTCTGGGGAGAGGAGGTGAGAAGGGAAAGGTGGGCTGAGAGGATCAGTGAGCCATAATCAACACAGTCACCTCTTGTATTTTTAACTGTGGGATTGTGAGACTCGGTGGAGGTACTGGTTTGTGAATTCATTTTCCCACTAACAGAGCCTGTTAACAGGGAACAAATCATAGTAAACATGTCAGGGCCACTAAAAAGAGGTCTTTTCGTCGGCTTTTTCTTCTTAAGAGCTGCAGAAAGGGTCCAGAGCCATGACATGCCTGCCCTGCTACCTCTATCCAGGTGCTTGCTTTTAAGAAAATCAGAGGATTTCAGGACCTAGGAAATGTGCATCTCAACTCTGGGCATTTTTTCACACCTTCAGAAAAGAGATTTAAAAAAAAAAACAGAAAAGAAAAGACCTAGGTGTTAGGCAAGGTCTCCAGAGCCGAGAACATAATCCTAAGTAGTGCACTAAAATAGAGATGATGAGCCTGGGAGTGTTTGATCCCCAGAACCAAAAGATAATTTTTAATTTAATTTAATTTAATTTTAGATGAATGTCAAAAATGGCCACGTGCCTGGGCATGTGCCTGGCACCGTGCTGGGAGCTGTCCACACTTAAAACCAGCCCTGTGAGAAGGGAGTATTATCTCCAGTTCACATGTGAAAAAACAGGCTAAGCAATACGCTGAGGCACACAGCCAGCCTCATGGTTAATAACTGCAATTCTAAGGGGCCATGTTGAATTAGAAGCTCAGTTCATCTCAGGGTCTCTCTTCTGGGCCGTCCTGGCACAGAAGTTCCAGAAGGTAAAAGAAAAGAGGAGGCTAAACGTGGTGGTGCATGCCAGTAATCCCAGCACTTAGGAGGCTGAAACAGGGGAATCACCATGAGTTTGAGGACAGCTTAGGCTACAGAGTGAGTTCAAGGCCAATGTGAACCACATAGCGAGGTCTTACTTTTAAAAGGCAAAAAACAAATAAAATAAAATATAGAAGAAAAAAGAGAAAGAAGCGAGGCGCCTCCAAATGTGTAAAGGCAGAGTCTGCGGTGTTCGGGGTGTCTGCACGTGTGACCGTGTGTCTGTGAAGCAGTTATTCTCTTCTCTCCCACCAGAATGTGATTTCGAAGAGAACCATCTGTGTGGCTTTGTGAACCGCTGGAACCCCAACGTGAACTGGTTTGTGGGCGGAGGGACCATTCGGAACTCCCACTCCGTCCTCCCACAGGATCACACCTTTCAGAGTGAAGTGGGTAAGTCGGGGCAGGTGGACGCCTTTGCTCAGGATGAATTCTTCTGCCACCTCCTCTTGCCCCCTGGACTGATCTGACGGTGGCTTCCGCCTGTGGAGGAGGGAGGAGGGACCTGGGTGTTCACCGAGTACCAGGGGCCCTGGTGGAAGAGTCCGGAAGAATGAACGGTGAGATCCAGATGCACTGCAGGCCTGAGCTCTGTAATTCAATACGAGTCCGCTTAGTTAAAGGTTTTACTTTGCCATGACCCGGCTGCCACTTTCACTTTTGCATATTAAGTTTTAGTTCATATCTATTTGTGGTTTAGAGGTTCTTATTTCTAAGAGCAAGGCTGGAATAGTCCCAGGTAACTTTTCAATAAGAATAGATTGATGGAGAGGAGTAAATCCTTAGGCAAGGCCCATGACCGCTGGGTGAGCCAATGCTGCTGATTAGCTGGGCATGTGGTGTGCAACAGCGCCCCCAGGTGGCCGTGCCGGCTGGCTCTTTGCAAGGAAACCAGGGAGGAGGTGAGGTTATCAGAGCCCGGAGGTCAGGAAACCCTCCTGAAAGAAGCCCAGCAAGGTCACCCGTGGGTGACCCCGGCACATACTGCAAACGCCGTGGGCCACCTGCAGTTCCATAACTTCCCAGTCTTCAGACCCTAGTTCTTTACCATGTAGTAAGAAGACTCTGCTGATGGGCTTTCCGGTAAGATCTCATTTTGCTGTAGGCAGTGTTTGCTCACGCCTCCGGACACGACGACACGGGGTGACTCCTTTTTTCCGCGTTTTCACTGTAGGTTCTCACCATCCACGTGCCCTTTGCCGTATCGCAGCTGCTTTCCCCGCAGCGTACACTGGCCTGAGCAGCCTTCCTGATCTTACTCTCTTGGCTCGCAGCCTCTCTCCCCCTTCCTACCCAGTCTCAGGCTCCGGGTCCAGGCACATAGAGTGATCTGGGCAGAATAAAGACAGGGTGAAGATGCTGCGTAGACTGCTCAGCCGCAGTGAATTTGTGCCCTGTCGTAATGGGAGCTCTGTTTGCTGGATCTTTTGATTTTTCAAGATCATCAGGAAGAAAAGCATTTTAAATATAGGATTTTAAAAGTGAGTGAATATTCGCTAAAAAAAAAAAAATACATGGGCTGACAAGAAGTTGGTCTACTTTTCCTGTACAGCCTTTATTCTACAGTTTTTCTTTTTCAACTTGTTCAGAGGCTTCTTCAAGAAACACACTGGTAATTGACTGCATATAAGGAGACTGGAGCTCCGTGGGGCTTGCCTGCTTAAGACAAACCGACTTGGTCTCTAGAGATTTTATTCAGTCACTCCTGAACTAGGTATAATGCGGGAAGTGACAAGTCTCCAAGACTCTTTCTAGCTTCAAGGAATACACATTCAGGAAGTGGAAAGAGATTTCTACCACAAATGGATCTAAGACTAAGTCCTTCGTGTCTGGTGCTCTGCCCAGAAAAAAAGCTGCTCAATGGTCCATCACTGATCGCATGGATCGCTCAGAAGTCAGGAGAGAGGAAGTAAACTGTATGTGAAGGGCAGGTATGATTTTGACAGGCAGAGTTCTGAGAGAGGGAGAGAGAGGGATTAGTGATACAGAGATGTCACCTATAAGAAGTAATTAGGAGTGAGACCCAACAGCATGAGGCAAATGCTAAAAGGTGTTGAATGGCAGGAAAGAAAATTCAAGTGTATTTATGATGGGAGGCCAGTGGAAGTCTTTAAACAGGAGAGATGTGCTTTCATGGCAATGTGTTTAGGAGCACGAACCAGAAGGTGATTGGACAGATGGCTGGAGTAACAATGGGAAGAGTGCTCAGCAAGCTGTTCCTTTAGGCACAGTTATAAGGAACCCAGAGGAGGAAAAAGAAAAGGATTTACTTCTCCTTTTAAAAAGGAGGTTTTTAAGGTTTAGAACTCCCCCCACTTGTAAAAGATTGGGACTTCCCTGCGTATGGCCCGTATCTGAACCTTAAAGACACCCAGCCTGTCTCCATTGGGCCATTACAAGAGCCACACCAGAGCGGCCGTTCTGTGTCCAGTGAATGGTGACCAATCACCACACAGTCGTTCATGAATCTGCAGGAGTATTTGAAGTCAATTGGGCTAATTCTAAGCAATATCTCTTGAGACCTTTGTCTAAAAATTAAAGCAAGTAACTACACCATCTCTCAGAGTTTCAAAAAGCAAAGTAAAATAATTTTTTCTCTGTGTATGGAATGAGGCTAGTCTTAAGATTGTTTTTCTGTCACATCTGAAAATCTAACGCAAGGAGCACAAAGGATCTTAAAAAGCCAGTATATTCCAGTTGCAATAATACTAGGTGTCATTAACGCAGTTACCTTGTGGAACAAATTTAACCATGGGGAAGTGTGAGAGAACTTTACCCAAATCACTTAAAAGTTGGTTCCAAAGTCAAATCCTCTGGCTAACAAAGTCACAGTCCATGACTTTTTCAGTGCATGGCTTTTCCTCTTCAAGCTTCGTCTGCCTGGGGAACTATGCGGCCCTCAGGAGAGGGAGTGTAGCTGTGGGCTCATCCATTTGATTATTATCAGAGTGCAATCCATACCCCGAGTCCTTCAGCTGTGACTGGGGAGAACCTGCTGGCCATATTGCGTCCATGAGGGATAAAGAAAGAGCAGGCGAAAAGTCAGAATGTTTGTGCTCCCGGCCTGGCTGTGGCTGCGCTGTGAGTCTGAGCATCCCTGAACATCTTAACTTGTCCCCTGGCTCATTTGCAAATGAAGAATCTGCAGTCAGTGATCTCCAAGTTTGAGCACGGGGCTCTTCTCTCTTTGCCTAATGCTGTACAGCAAAATCTCCAAATTCACCCAATGAGATCTGTTTCAAAACTGTATTGGGTCTCTCCTGAATACTTGTAAGCCCATTGCATCTGGCATCAGAAAAAAGAAAAAGTACTAATGGGAGTAAGAAGTGAGGAGAAGAGGACCTGAGTTTGCTAACTCTTGATGAGAAGGGGATGAGATAGACATAGTGGGGGTCACCCTGACGAGACTGAGACCTGCTGGTGTGGGCTGTCACCCCTGCCATGGCACTTGCTCTCTCCTCCTGTCCTGCCCCCTCCTCTCTCCTGTTGCCGGCTCTGCCCCTTTCCATCCTTCTCTTCTTCCTTGGCTGTCCTAACACACTTCCAAAGACAGCCAGCTTTGCTGACTAGCATTGCTAGGTCTCCTGAGTCAGCACTGAGGACGGAAGGAGAAGCTGGCTTTAGGCTGAGGGAACGCTGCTAAGGAGACGTTCTTTATTATTATTATTATTATTATTAAGAGAAAAAAGAAAAATCAAGATGCAAACAAATCTCAAAAACTGCAACAATAAAAGCAAACCAACAACAACAACACCTGTGTAGGTTTTCAAAACAAGATAATAGGAATTTAACAATAGTTTTTATACCGCATATTGTTGTCTTCCAAATAGTTGCTCAGGTCCCAGATACAGGAATAAAACAAAACAGTAAAATGCAACAAAACATTGGATTTCAAAAACAAGACAGAAGGAAATTCCCCACAGTTGTCACAGTGCACACTGCCATCCTCCAAATAGAAGCCCAGACCACCAGGTCCAGGCTGCAGAGTCAAACAGTACAAACATCAAGCTGTTGCTTTCAGCTCAGTTGCCGTCATCTCACCCCTAAGTCCTTTGAATCAGCCCTTTGCTTTAGGGGATTTAGGGGTACTCTTTTGGTTTCCCAGCCCCTGCGCAGGCGGGCTCACGAGAGGGTGTGATTCCGATTCCCTTGGGGAGCCTGGCTCTCTGGGAGGCGGTGTCTGTCTGCTAAGGAGAAGTTCTCTTCCCTCCCAGAGATCCCTGAGCGTATGCAGTCGGTCTAGGCAGAGCCCAACCACCAGAAGGGGATTTCTTCCTTAATCCCTCCTTCATTTATTCCTTCAACACACACATAATAAGCTCGCTGTGTTTGTCAGACATCCCTACATACTTTGATGCTACAAAAATAGCGACTTCAAGGAGATCATTGAAACTAATTTCTCCACAATACTTTCCCCTGACATACCAGTTCTTGGGTATATGACTTTTTATATGAAGGAAGAAGGGTACTACTTGGTTGAATAAATGAGAATTCTGAGTTAAAGAAAGCTAAACAGATCTCTATTTCAGGACTTCTCACAGTTTTTTAAAAATGTAGTTCCATGTTAATGTATTCGACAGCATTTCTTAAATGATCTAAATAACAAAGTGCTAAATAGACACACACAGTGACACCTAACTAATAGAGACATAAAATAAATTATCCAGACCCACATAAAAAGTGAAGGGTTGCCTCAGACTGGGGTTCATGGAGGGTGTTCTGGAGGCAATAATGACAGAACTGGAATCTGGCCAGATGAATTCAGGAAAGATAAATGTGTTTTACGCAGAAGAGGCGAGGCGGGCGAGCAGATGGGTAGTTTCATGTTGGGAACGCTAGGGTGTGGGTGCTGGTGGAGTGGCCCCAGGTCCCGGGCTCTTTTCCTACTTACACTGGTGGGAAGCTTGGATGCCTATATTCCATTTGCTTCTCTCAATTCTTCTCTGCTACTTCTCCAATTTCTCTTCAGTTTTGGGACTCAAGTTTTGATTGGCCAACAACCTTCTCATTTCCACTCTGGCACATACACGCACGCACACACATGCACACATGCACAAGCACACGTTCACGTTCTTAACTCCTGAACTCCCCGAATAAGATGGGGCTTAAAAAAAAGGGGCATTGTAAAGATTCTAAAATATTTTTTTAGAACTCTTCCTATATAATTCAAAGGTTTGCCCAGGATCACTCTTAGAGAGAGAAAGAAAGAAAGGAAAAGAAAAATCTCAGCGCTCTAAAAAGGACAGAGGTTACATCTCTTATTCTTTGCCCTCCACTGGGTGTATTGATTTTCCCTGAGCACTTGCAATTTGGGTGGCAACATAAAGATGAAATGGTTCAGATGTCTGCCAGCCTCAGCAGATTTTGCTCTGTATGCACCAACCTTGTGTCCG